ATCATAAGTGCTAGTCCTAAATCCGATTGCATCTGCTCTGAATACAAACAGCTCTTTGTGCTGGTCCCCACGGATAAAGATTAGAATGTTTTATGCAAGTGTGTAGTTGGGAATCGATGCAACACTGCCTCTCATAAACACCACCTGAAGCACAGTTTGCTAGCATTGTAAAAAACTTCCTAAAATCCTGACAAACTGGATGATCTCTGTAAAATTGTAACCTCTACCAGAATATTTATTAACTTACTCGTGGAAAGAGGGCATCCATTTGGATTCCATTTCCAAATCAAACATGTGTTTCTGGTTTCTTAGATCAGCTCAGTCACGCAAAGGAATTATCGACTAAATAGGTCAAACCTGCAAACGATGGGAAAACCTCCAAGCTTGCTCCCAAATTGTAATACTTGTTCATGTTTCAGGAAGTTTTGTTTACTGCTCAAGCAGTCAATCCTGCTTCCCGGAATTGGGAAAGCAGATGGAATTTCCTCCCCCTCTCTCATTTACCTCAGGGCTTTTAAGATTTTAAAGGGACTGGATAATGTAGCAATGATAAGTTGCCTTATCTTGTCCAGAACAGTAGAACCAGAGGACATGGCCTGCGATCGAAGAGGGGTAAATTCAAACAATTCTGTGGAAACACTACCATATTTCAATGAGCGAGTAGAAAATGTATTGAATAAACTCCCTGGAGACACGGTAGAAGCAGAAATTGTCGATTCTTTCAAAAGCAAATTAGATAGATTTCTTTTAGGAAATAATATCTTGGGTTACGGCAGGGGTGAGCAAAGTACGGACCGCGGGCCATATCCAGCCCGCCAAATGATTCTATCCGCCCCATCATTCTGTCCAGCAATAGAAAAAATTATAGTTTGTTCAGTCCCAGAAAGTGGACACAGTTACGAAAGTGGTCAACTACATTCGAGCAAGATGTTTAAACCACAGACAATTTGTAACTCTGCTCGAGGAATTGGAATCCGAACACACGGATGTTCTGTATCACATGAATGTTCGATGGCTTAGTTTAGGAAAGGTCTTGAAAAGAGTGTGGGAACTGAGAGCAGAGACTGATTTATTTTTGGGAATGAAACAAAAAGAATCGGATTTCTCACAGCTGAATGATGCGAATTGGCTCTCTGATTTCGCATTTGCCGTAGATATCATGGGCCACATGAATGAACTGAATTCAAAACTGCAACGGAAGGAGGCCTTTGTGCACGATTTGTATTGCAGTGTCAAGTCATTTATAACAAAATTATTTATTTTATCGCGTCAGATAGGAAATAGGTTGTTCACCCACTTTCCAACTTTGCAGTAGATTACTGTTTGCGATTAAAGCCTTAAAAAATATATTTTGTCACTACTTGACTTACGTGCCAAATTTTCTCGCTGATTTCAATTTGATCGAAAATGACCTGTCTTTGGTCTCTTCACCTTTCTCATTTGATGTTGACAAAGCCCCATTTGACCTTGAACTCAAGCTTAAATTGACCTGCAATGTGATCCATTGCTTGCAGAGCAATTCAAATCAGCGCCGCTTTCCAGTTTTTATGCCTCTCTTAATGAATATACCTTTCCACAAATAAAGGCTCATGCCCAGATAATGCTTTTGATGTTTGGATCTACATACATGTACGAGGAGACATTTTCTGTGATGAAATTCAATAAATCAAAACATAGATCTGTGATGACTGATGACCACCTTGCAGCAGTACTCCGCATTGCAACATCGGAGACGATGCCTGACTTCAATTGTCTGGTTAACCCACATCAGCATTTTCATTCTTCCCATTGAATGTGCTTCTCACATTCTCATCAATATGTGAATAAATGAATCAATATCGAATAAATGTCTGCTCAATGAGTTGTTTTTATTTAACCTAATTTTAATGAATGTCAATTATATAGACTTTATTTTATGCATGTACAAGGGTAAGACTTGATTTTGAGCTATTATTAAGCATTTGCATCTATATCAAGTGTGTGGCCCACGAAGCTTACCAAAACTTGTGAAGTGGCCCACCAGCCAAAATAATTGCCCACCCCTGGGTTACAGTATATAGTTTGGGACATGACATGTGCATGTGACTGCCAGGATGGTGGAACGAGAACTGGATGGACCTTGGGCTTCTGACATCTAGCATTTCCTATGTTCTTATGTTCTTAAGGCCCCAAACATCCACATATGCCCACAAAATATAGTCAATTCACGTTACAGTATATTCTGTCAAGCCCTTTGAGACGTCTCGAAATTGTGTTAAGGCACTATATCAAATGCAAGGATTATGATTATTATTATGAACCAAACCCACACTGATTGTGTGAAGTTGAAGCAAAGCTTCTATAAATAAGCAATGGAAATGAATACGGTCAGGATATTGCAAAAAATAAGTCATTTAACTCATCGTGCCTGTGCCTGTGCAGTGCTCGCTCCACAGTGTAGCTAACTATCCTTATCCCATTTCCCTGTTTTTTTTCTGTGACTCTTTTACAGTCAAAAATATGTCATTTCTAACAATTTCTGCTGATCAATTTGAACTGTTTTAAGTCCTGCCAACAATCTGCATTCCTGAATTCTCTGCCCGGAGACTACTGGCTTTTATTATTACGCTTGTGTAAACTGTGGGCAAAATGTCAAAGATTAGGGTAAGAAGCTTCTCTTCCCGCTCTAGTGCAATGACTTTGCATTTATTACTGGCATTTTACCCTTTATAAACCACTGTCAGACCTGCTGCACTTTCGTAGCGCAAGGCAAATCACTGAGCAGCCAAGCCTCTGGGAGAAGAAATGGCTAATTAGTGGAGTCCTGTAGCCTATAATATAATAATAATAATAATAATAATAATAATAATAATAATAATAATAATCCTTGCATTTCATATAGCGCTTTTCACATCTTCTAGACGTCCCAAAGCGCTTCACAGAATATTCTGTAAAGTGAATTGACTGTATATTTGTGGGCGAACGCGGCAGCCAATTGCGCACAACAGTGTCCCACAAACAGTCGTGGATTGAAAATGGCCAATTTATTATTGTTTTGTTAGTGTCCCACAAACAGTCGTGGATTGAAAATGGCCAATTTATTATTGTTTTGTTTTTTGGAGGGATTATTATTAGGCTCTGTGTGGAGTAAGGAAACTTGCCCAAGGTTTCGCCCTCTGCCTGGAATTGAACTCAGGTCTCTTACTTGCAAAACGAGTGCTCTAACCATTGAGCTACAGAACTCCGCTACAGCTACAGCCTACTGGTTAGAGCACTCACCTCGCAAGGGAGAAAACCCGGGTTTAATTCCCGAGCGGGGCGAAACCTTAGGCAAGTTTCTTTACTCCACACTCTTCTGTTTACCTAGTATTTAGTAGGAACCCGGTTGTTAGCTGATTGGCAGATCACTTTCTGGGAGTAATAATCCCTTCAAAAAAATGAACAAATAAATAAATTGGTCACTCAATTATTCAATGATATCAGAACCTTTTAGACATAAGTTGAACGATACAAGAAATAAAACTGCAAGGGAGAGGTTAATTCCCTGTAACTCAGTGGTTAGAACACTCGCCTTGCAAGCGAGGGACCTGGGTTTGATTCCCGGCAGGGTGATAAGTTGAGTAACTTTCCTTATTCCACACGCCTCTGTTTACCTAGCAGTAAGTAGAAACCCAGTTGTTAGTCGATTGGTGGATCGCTTTTCTGGGGTAATAATTCCTTAAAAAAATAATAAATTGGTCACTTCAATCCACGAATATTTGTGGGACACTGCTGTGTGCAATTTGGCTGCCGCATTTCATCCACAAAATATACAGTCAATTCACTTTGCAGTATATTCTTTGAAGCACTTTGAGACGTCTTGAAGATGTGATAAGGCGTTGTAAGGATCATTATTATATTATAAACAACTGCAAGAGTTTTTTGGTCAGCCACATGCTAAAGCTCATCACCCTGCTTAAGAGTATCCAAAGCAAACTGAGAATTCCATGCACCGCTCCAGCATGCTGAAATTCTTGTGGCTGGAGTGGAAGGCGTACTCTCTCCCTGGAGGGATGCATCCTCCTTACCTAACTCCAGAGAGCATTAAGCACAGCTTGGTAAGAGCCAAGGCTTGGGGACCCCAGAGTGTGCACTGGGATATTGTTGAAGTCTAACCAGCTAAAACCAAGTATCTTGCCATTGAAAGCACTGTCTGGAAGGCTTCCTACTGCTTATCCAGCTAGGACCTCCCTACACAATAGGGCTTTGGCTTTCATGATTAACAGGAGTTGAGTGGGAAGAATCCCTGCCCCAGTGACTGGTTTGCCCCTCCATGTCGAACCAGGTTCAAGAACCAGACTAACAAGACCGTCAGAAAAGGTTGACTTGACTCCGACATTCCATAGGAGCCAGCTCAGCTTCAATGAAATTCTGCAAACCTCGCCCTCCCCCAAGGAGGAAAGTCACAAGTTCATCATTAGACATCTGTGGGGAATAAACAAGCCTACATCTTTAACATATATCACACTTACTGCATGGATTCCTAATCTGAGCGTGAAACAGACTGGAAGAAACTTGATGATCAAACCTTCTAGGCAAAGCATTTTGCAACACAGTATATTTCATCTTACTCAAAAACACCAAGTTTATGGTTACACTGTACAAACCTAATAAAATTGTCACAATTCAGAGGGGGTTTCAGTCATCTCTCCTACACTCAAACAACTGATATATTTGTAATATAATGCTACCAACAGTTTCCAACAGTGGAATTCTTACAAAGTGGTCATTATTCCTGTATGAGGGAAGATAGTATTACAAGCGCAAAGCAATAAAGTGTGGAAATCACCCGACTCACTATCAACAGTCGACAGCTTATTCAGCCATTAGTTGCATCACAGCCAAACCTGTCCTTCCCCAACTCCCATGCAAGTTGCATCTTCGAGTGGAAATCTCTGGATAGCTTTTTAGAGCATGTACCATGATGGATATTACAGCTTCCCAAGTGAGGGCTGCAGGGTCTAATTATAGCATCTGACCTGCTGGCCTGAATGAGATCACTAGCTGGCACACACTGGGGAAAAGCAAACGTGTTAAACTTTAAACACTTGCATTCACGGAGGCACCAATATGACAACAGGATCAGGAGGCAACGAAAGCCACAAGTTGATTGAGGACTTTGTTCCTTTTGATGGGACCATTAACTCTCTTCACATTCTACAAGATAAATATTAACAACTGACACTGAGAAGCAATCACGAGATACCCTGTAACTAACAAGCTCGATCGACTCAGTTACGGAAGCACTCAAGTACTTACAGGTATTCCTTTGCCTGATTTGATTGACAACTGAATATGTAACACATTGATCCATGTGCAATGTAAGTATAGTCGCAAGGGAAGCCGGTGACACTAATCTCCATAGGGGATCTTCAACCTTCCTCTGGATGGACCAGCATGATAATGGTACATATTGGGTACATGCTTTAGTGCCAATCCAGGGGTTATGGTTTCCCATTTGAAAGTGATGTTGAGGGGCTGGCGTACACTTGGCTTTGTGTTGCGCAGCCTTACTAAACGTTTGAGCACGCTTCTAAACTTAAAATGAATTGGTGTCTTTTATATCCAAAAGAATTATAGTGTTTGGCCTGGCCAGGCCATAAAGTGGCATAGTAATGTGAAATAAACTTGTTAACATTGTAAAGTAAGTGCAGCTAACACTCTATCATATTCTTAGAAATATTTACCCTAATCTCACAGCAATGAAGAAGCTATGGGATGTCTCTTTTATAACTCCTCCTCCATGCCTAGGCATAGCTCTGTGTTGTTGTGTGTGTGAGAGCACAATCTCTCTGGGGAGTAGAGAATAGGATGAGATCAAATTGCTCTGTATTTGATGCAATTATAAACAAATGATTAAACAGCTGATCCATTCTGCTGGTTAAAATGAGTTTGGCTCACTTTGTTGGTCTTTCCACTGTAAAAACAATTTTACTCTAAAAACCATTCCCCTGTCAGTCTGTGCAAAATGTACCTGGTGATAAAATGCACTCCTTTTGGGGGGAAAGGTCTGCATAAGAGAATCCATGAACCTTAAAGTTAATCAAGATAAACTCCCTGTTTTCCATATCCCCTCCCGATCCAGGCTCCGTGAGCTAGTCATCCCCATCCTCGTCTCACCCTCCTTCACCACCCCCCCACTTCACCCTCCCCCATCGGAATTGGGGAGGGTGGAGGGCAGGGAGTGGGGGGGGGGAAGGAAGGTGATCGAAGGCATGGTCGAAGAGGAGGGTCTTGAAATGGGTCTTGAAAGAGCAAGCGGGTAGAGGGACTACAGGACAGAGTTCCAGAGGGTGGAGGCTGAGTGGCTGAAGGCCCAACTGCCAACTGTGGTGTGGGAGGAAGGGATGTAAAGCAGGCTGGAGCTCGCTGAACGGAGGGAGTGGGCAAGTTGGTACGGGGTTAGGAGGACACAGTGTTATGGGGGAGCAAGGCCACAGAGGGCTTTGAAGGTGAGGACCAGATCTTGAACTTTATCCTCTGTGTGATGGGAAGCCAGTGGAGTCAGGCAAAGATGGGGGTGATAGGGTCACGGAGCCTGGTGCAGGAGAGGACATGGGCTGCAGAGATCTGGAGGGAGGAGTTGGGGATGCTGACAAGCAAGTCAAGCATAGATGTTATGAATGCGTGTATGAGGATTTCAGTGGCCTGCGATTTGTGACAGAGGCGAAGCCAGGCAATGATGCGGAGGTGGGGAAGGCAGAGCGGGTCATGGCGCAGATGTGGGGTAGAAAGAATACTTGAGGGTCAAACAAGACCCCAAGGTTGCGGACTGGCTCAGTAAGGTGGAATGTGCAACCATGGATGGTGATGCTGTCAGTGCCTGAGGTGCGGAGGCGTTGACGGGAGCCAATCAGGAGAGCCTCGGCCTTGTTGACGTTCAACTGAAGAAAGTTGGCTCTCATCCAGGACTTGATGTCTGACAGACATTCTGTCAGGACAGTAGTGGTCGTGTAGTCAAGGCTGGAGGCAGAAAGATAGTGTCATCCACATACATGTGGAAAAAAATGTATTTGTTCCATCCACGACTGTTTTGTGGAACACTGCTGTGCGCAATTGGCTGCTGCGTTTCACTCATAAAATATAGAATCAATTCACATTACAGTGTATTCTGTGAAGTGCTTTAAGACATCTCGAAGATGATGTTTTATTATAAAAAGCAAAAAGAAAAAAAAGTTAAAGCCACTATGATATTTAAAATCTTAAATCAAAAGCCACAGGAAACATGTGTTCAGTACTTGATTTTTTAATAACAATTAAAACATGAACGTCATACACTATAATAGTCATACCATTTCATGAAGCAAATAATTCATACAAAAAACTATCAACAATACAGCTACATTCAAATCCATTTTTATTCAGTAAAAAGTTAATGTACAATTGACATCTTGAATATATAGTCTCCTGAAGCAAAAATTTTCACGGTTTAAGCGCTTAATGGTAGTATCTGGAACACAACACAAAAGTGGACAATTAAATAAAGCAAACTACTGTTGTCTGCTTATGTACATGGCAAAGGTCAGCATCACTTAACAGAAGTCTCAGATTCAGACCAAACATTGAAACATTTTACAATATTCGAGTCATCACATGTATATTCCTTGAACATATAACAGGCATTAAGGCTCATGTTTAACACCCCAAAATGCCCAATAAGCTCACATGGGCCCATTTCTCTAGGTTTCATTTTGAACAACTATAGATACATCAGTGGAGTTTTGAAAAAGAATGTCATGTAAGGTTTCTGAATAATTCCTGCAGTTTGGCCCAAAAAATAAAGACATTTCTCCTTGACTTTGTATTTCTTATAGACACGATACACAGAAATGACTCTAAGATTACAGAACCAAGGGCTCATGCTTTAGTGACGCTTCATTTTTCATTGCACCAATTTCAGTTGTGCCAATTTTACACATCGCTTTGTAACTGTATAGAAGAAATTCAACCTCAAATGACTCTTTTCTTTACATTTTTACTCCATTGCTGAAATTTCATGGAAGGACAAGCATCATACAAGGCTGCAAGTAGAGTTCTCATTTCAGCAACAAAATTTCATAAATACTGCAAAACAAAACTGAATCGTAAAAAAATATTCCGTACAAATAATATATTGTTAGTTGGTGAACAGTAAAGCTCAAATGACAACACAATATAAAAAACTGGCGGATCACACCTGGACAGCTAATGCAAACCTAGGACTTCCTCGGGTTTTTCACCCAATTCATGCCAATGGATTGGTGGGACGGGATGGGATCAAACCCAAAACTGTACTGTTTGAGCTTGGCAAACCCTTCAAACCAATGTTCATGCTATCATAAGGGTAATGTTTATGATTAAGTTGGGGGGGGGGTGCGGGGGTGGGGGGGGGGGAGGAGGTAGGAAAGAAAGAGGTAGCTCACAGTAATGAAATGAAAATAAAGCACTGTAGTTGTCTTGAACTCTCACATTTCAATGCAAGTACTCTGAATAGCTGACATGAGAGTACTTGAGAGGAAAAACAATGCATTTAAATAAGGCGCATCAACGGCAATATATAAGCTAGTTAGTCTGGCCACAAGTTGAATCAGACTGCCTCATCTTAAAGAGCATCGTTCACCACAAATGCAGATTTCATTTTTTTTAATTCAATTATTGCTATTATATTATGGATTTGACTGTCCTGCAGTGATTTAATAGACAATGAAAAAAAATGTTTGTTTTAAAAAAGAAAAGCTCATCAATGTTTTTCCAGTAATGAAACCAATTGAAAAATCCTATTTGATGAAACCTGCTTTGTGGCTCTAAGCCACTGCTCGATGGGCACACAAATAAAAGGTCTCTAAATTTCAGAACACAAAATTCTCTTTCAGTCCATCCCTATTCACCCGAGCATCCAAACTGCATTTCCAACCCTTTAACATATCCAGTTTACCACTGCAGTTGGTCATATATTGCGAACACGAGCTCAGTAAATCAGCACTTTGAAAGACAAACAGCACAATACAGTACGTAGCCGAGGGAAGGCTGAAACTTAACTGCGTGCATTAGCAGCTCCCTGCCAAAATATCACATTTCCACACAAATACCAAACTAATCTTATTCTTAATAAGCCTTTAGGACAGTAATATAGCAAAAAGCCATCAGTAGATTCAGTTTGATAGTTTTTTTAAGCATAGGATTTATAGTCAATAATTACAGGATCATACATTTCCTCCACCTATTAAACATTATTGAAATCTGCTAAAGGATACTTGTACATTTACAAGTTCATGCACTTTGTGTCCTTATTCTGAACACAATACATCCATTTTTTTAAATGCATGAATTTGCCATGCATAAGTGGAGAAATATTACACAACCAGGGATATTTTAATATTGCGCGTATGTTTTTATATAAAAATACTACTTTGCTGTGTAAAGGGAACCAAGCAAAATCTGACTTAAAGCAGTTGTGCATACAGTGATTAACATTGGTCAAAGTTGTTCCCAAAGATTGCAAATCAGAAAGCCATCAAACTAAAATCCACTTTGGTTTTGTTCCTATATTAGGGCAAAAAACCTCATTTCATTCCCTCTATTTATTTTTTTAGGATTATATGTGTTGAGGAATAATCAGTCACTACCACAAATTCTGCTTTTATTATTGAAAGACCAGTTATCCTGGTGGATTGCCAAACACAATAGCCAAACTTTTTGTTGAAAGCAGCATATTTCTTGCATCTGATCTTAAAAAAAATGAGTTGCAAGGTTAAAATATATTTTTTTAAAAAACTAAGTTCATTATCCCCACCCCTTCCAAATGGGGAAGAAAATGAAGGTTTTTTTTTGGCCATACCGACAAGACGCATTACTCATTTTTTTCATTCAGTTGCTATTACCATGCAAATAAATTAACTCAGAATACTAGGGCACACAAGTAAAAACGCTTGAAGGTAGAACTATTTAAAAGTCTTTATACAAACATCATACATAATACTTTTCTTCATTTTTACAGGAAAGACTAAGGTGTTCATACGTCAATGATTTCCTCCGCTGTGCCACCACAGCGTAACCTGTAGCGTCCTGTCCGCCACCTTATAGTGGGATCACACAGGGCAGATAAGAATATGTATATTGTCATAGATTCTCGGATAAACCATGCAACAGCATAATCAAGTTTAGAAAAACACAGAGGTCCACCCTGGTGGGAAAGAAAGAGAAAAAAAAGCTATTAATGTGTGGTCATTAGGTTATCAATTAGAATTTTGGTAATTATAGGACTACAAATGTGACTGTCTGGAAAGTAGACAAATGCTAAGAGGTTTGTTATTGAATAAACTGTAGTCAATAATAAAACAAAGCTACCTCAAATGTCTTGAAAATGTTCGAATTGCTCTTATTGACACCATTAATAAACTCCACAAGTGCAAGCTACAGTGCTATGAGCCATAAATTTCTTGTAATAATTCAAAACGTGCTCATATTGCCAGCGATGTGATCAGCTAAGTGAAAACTCAAATTAATTTTAGGAAGTAACAAAAATTTACAGCACTGGATAATAATTCACCCATAATTTTTTTGGTTCAATTGAATTCTTTTGAACAGCACTAGAATAATGGAAAAGTGCCATCCCAATCACTGACATTTTGTAGTTATTCAAAGATTCACTGGGAAAGAAACCCCAATGAACTGGCATTCTCTTTGGTTTACGAGTAGGGCCAATAGAAATTGCGCAAAAAGTTGCCAAAATTTGTGGGATAGTTTGATCCCCTTTTCAGAAATTTGTGGGGAGTTGTTTGGTGTTATTGAAAGGTACATTTTATTGCCAAGCTACATATTTTCACTTTATTGGTAAAATCTAAAGGGGGAGGGGGAGAATGCCCAAAGGGCCTAATGGTCCATTTCCACCGCACACTACATTTGAAGGACTGGAGATCCACCAACACATGGATTTTTATAGGTTGTTTGTAGCAGAGGGTTGTTTGTAGCAGGCTCCTCAGAAAAATTGCAGATGTACTCTTCTATTGGCCCAGGTTAGGAATACGATTTTACTGTCTATGACTCTTTTGGCTAGCTGACATGTGGAAACCCATCATTGTGCTTTTACAGCATTGAAATCACTTGCACATGGAAATTGCAGTATAATACAAGTCATTTGGGTATTAGTATATTTTTAGGAACTTAATTTAATCAAACCCATCGACTGCTGCTAAACTAGTCATTTGACTACATTCAGAGGCTATTCCAGAACAAGATTTTATCCTGAACTACATAAGGGGCAAGAAAAGCAGCATCTATCTAAGTAATAACTATAGCAAAAAAGGGAAAAGGACTCCGTAACTGGATCCCAAGGGGAAGTTTGGTGGTGGGACTTGGCAGAGGTTGGGCACATATGCATCAGAGATGCCTTTGATCTATTTGAAAGCTGTTTTGTGGCTTTCCTCCCTATCCTGTTGCAGGGGCCTCTGTTCTATTGTAGGGCCGGCTGTGGTCTCTTACTCTATCCTAGACACATTTATGCACCCTGAGTCTGGTCTTGTGCGTTTTTGAACACCCATTTCACAATAGATTAATTAATAATTAATAGAAATGTGAGAGCAAGGATCCAGTGAAGATACAGGTTAAATGCTATAAATGGGGAAATGCGTGAAATAAACTGGCTTTAAATAAAAACATAAAAACCCTGAAACTAATGTCCTACATCAATGAGCTGCTGCCTTTGCATACAAATACATAGTCATTAGACATTACAGTAAACCCTGTGAAGCACTGTTGAGAAATCATTCTGACGTAAAAGGTTTTGTACCAGATAAAAAAATTATTACATCGATAATGCTCAATCATTGAAATTGATTACCAATCACTAATTTATCACTACCAGTTACCCAAACACTGTAAATTATGCGTACCTGAATTCCTCGGAGTTGAATGTAATCCGATATAAACCAAGCTAAGCAGTGGCACATAAAAAACACCATAATGTCCCATTTGAAGATATGGTGAACAGCCCATCCTATTATCAAACTTGCGACAAAACACTCAGAGATCGGTTCACATACGATGGTAGCAGGCAGCATATTGATCCGCAATTTTGACCACCTATTGGACAAGAAACTATACAATAAGCTTCCGGCGCACAAACATGTATATTTCTGCTCAATTGTAGTAATCACCCCCACCTAAAGATTGTGTCCCAGGTGCTGCTAGTGCAGCTGTGTATCAACCAATAAGGCTTTTCCTTTGTAGGGTTGGATAGATTTTCCTGCTGATCCTCCTTCTTCCTCCTATCTGGCAGAAGAGATTGAGCACTGTGTGACATTTCATCCAGCAAAAGCTGGTTAACCTCAGAGGGTAGCTAAATTTAAATGTCTTGGAGCTACACTGGATCACTGGATGTGGAATGGTCAGGAGGGGAGGATCCAATTGGTAGGAAAGTGTTAAGTTACCCCATGCCCTAGGACAATTACACTTAACATAGATTTTAGTAAGCAAAATGGAAGTTGGGGGCAGAATATAAAGAAAGTCTTGGATATTGTTGAGGGGTAAGGAGCAAGTAACATTTTGTTTCCTTTTTGGCCACCAGTTTCACAGGCTTGTGAAGAGGGGCATTGGTAGGTCTGTGCTGTCACTGGCCACGGCACCTTCCCACATCTCATTAGTGCACAAGGTCAATGGGCAGTGGAGAGACAGCAGATAGTATTACAATTAGAACATCTGAACTATTAAACTCTGGGTGGTTGTCTTAGAAGCTTGTGAAACCAGTTAAGCTCTTGGTGTCAAATATTTTACTCATTATTTGTAAAGTTCATGCCTTTTGATTCTCAACAGGATTTCGCTGGGATGTCTTGCCAATTTGAATGAATATATTTTGCTATGTCGTCTTAAGACTGAGGGCATTTGTGATGGATGAAGTCTCCCTTCCAGAAAAATGAATATTGCATTTGAACAGATGTTAGCATCTAGGTATCGGGTATGCTACTATAAGTTCAATACCAATCGGTGCAAAGTGTGTTTGGGTCCAATTCCTTCAAGCACTCTCAAAAATACAAGACCAGCAACCTCAAGAATAAAGGCACCCGTGAGATTAATGCTACATCCAATATATGTCAGACTGTGGAAACTGTTCTGGATCAGTTCGTTGTTTTGAGCCCCTGTAATTTTAAAAGCAGCTATCAAATAAATGACTCCTCTCTTGCCAAATTTCAGAATGATGTTTCTAAGAGAAAAACTTGTATGGGCAGCACTAATAAGACGTTGGTGGGCAAAAAATGTTAGAGTTTGATTGCAATTAAATTATAGAATAGACTGGACTATCAAGTTATAAATACTTTACCTGATCATTCGTGACTGGAACAGAGAAATGGAATAGCTCCCCGAATTCTGCATCGCCACTTGACTTGCCATGGCAAATTTCCATCCTCTAAAAATAAAGTGAAATTAAGTATGAGATCATACCCCCTCAAAATCAGTTTGACACACCCTGATCTGTGAACCCTTAACACAACACAAGTGGTTTCTGCACTCATGTTATGTTCGTCGACACTACAACTCTGAAAAAACTTCTGATATATTCATTAGCTGCACACTTAAGTCCTCTGTCAACCTCTTCCCAGTCACATGGTGGAACCATGATACCAGAATCTATGACAGAAGCTCAAAGTCTCTACCCTCATTCAAATCATGTTACACTGAGTAGATTCTGGGAACATTCCCAAGATTTTAAATCCCCAGATTTAAATACGTTCAAGAAAGAGAACAAAACAAATACAAAATTAGAGCAAATGCAACTGGAATAAGGCACATCATAACCTTTGCTCACATTATAGTAATTTTAGCAACCTTATTACAGCAACTGAAAACATGATTAACCATATAATAACTACTTTGCTGACTACAAAATACCCAAAATGGGCAAAACTGGATCGGAAAACCAGATAGACGTGCCAGAGAGCAATGGTACTCCCACTACCTTATGTTGAGGTGATCTCAGTCATTGAATGGTTGGAGTCAACCTGCTCATATCCACATGAGTGAAATAAATTAGATCATTGCATATGGGACAAGGTTAAGCATAAGGGATGCAATGACACCACCCACTCAGTACCTAAATGATGGAGGGTATAAAACGACAGACTGCTGTGAACTCGCTTTTCACCAACAGTGCATACTAACAAAGATTTGACTTTCTCAGACGAAGAAACTGTTTGGCCATTCTTCATCTCACTGAACTTTGTGTTAAACAAGCTTTCCAAACTAACCGGTCTGCTATAGCCTTGGACATGAAGTAATCTTCTGCAATATACTGAGCGAACGCAATAAGCCCTCCAGCCTGGTCCAGTACATCCTTTCTCATTAGACAAGACATTCCAGTTACACATTTGAATCCAGTTACATTGGCCGAGATGTATGTTCTTGGATGTGATGTGCCAAAATACACCTGCAATGTAATGAAATTTAATAAGTTTAGAAATTGGTCCAGTTACAAATTCAAAAGCCTTCTGTGTAAACATTCATGTCTAACCATGTTCCATTATAAATTCAAAGGCTTTCTGTGTAAATATTTTTATATAACCAAGTCTGTAGTTACAAGAGAACAGTAATATTTACACATTTCACCTAATGGTAAAAATAGATATAAACAATTATTATGCCTCTGAGAAGATATCTAGTCAGGTAGAGGCCACAAATGATGTCAACAGTCAGTGAGGCTGGGATTCTTCTTACCCGTCTCCTGACAGGCCTGCAAGCCAAGCAGCAGGAAATGGACTAGTTCTATGAGACGGAAGGTTGTACGGATCTAACTGATCAAACTCTGCCAGTTTCCCCAATGCATACTGTTGATTCTAGACAAACCACACTAAACTCTCAAAGATTATTTAAGCAGGTTGCATGGGGAGAGGCACACTTCATACCAGATAAATGGAAATCACATATGTGGAACTCTTATTAGCTTGGTTTGGAAACAAGCACCGTGATGGGTTTCTGGGAATGTCAGATACCAATAAAGAAAATCTGAATCAACTGCAGTGAGTGCTGGCAATGCAGTCAGCACTTATGCTGCCAATGAGGACCTGATTTTATTTTGTCTCAAGGTGCTGACTCACCAAATTCTTTGGTACCTTGTAAGAGCAGTTGATCTTCACAGGTCAGCCTAAAAAATAGTGCTGGCTAACTATTCATCTGTGGGAATACCCACACTAGGACCATCTGGTCTCACTTGATATACACACAAATGCACTTCCCAGCAGTGGTCACCAGATGTAGTAACAGGTGCAGGTTTCCAGGCTGAATTTAAGCTTTACTGTCTCCCATCTGACAGTAGTTAACAGCAATGTTCAAACTTAGGGTTTTCAGGATTTCTATGACTCAGTCTCACATTAGGTTGAGACGTCAGGGAAAGCTCGCACTTTCAGTCTATAGCCCTGTAGAGAATAGATACTTGCCCAATGCCAAGACAAGAAATAACATGGTTGCTAAGCAACATTGAGGAATGATAAGGATACTGACTGATCCCAGCCCACAAACAAATACAAACAGCTGCTGAGAGTGAGACATACAAACAGATTACGCGCTGGAGCCTCAGATCAACAGGTGAACAGATAAAGCAGATCTCAACAGGATAAAGTGCAGCTATTCAAAGATTCTTAGTCTTTAAGTAAAAGCACAGTATGAATGTGGGTCTCTTTTGAGAAGTCAATTACACAAAACATTTTTAGTACATTAAAATGTTGTGTATTCAAGAATTTTCCTTTCCAGGGACAAACAAAACTTATGTATAGAATTGACAAACTTAAAAATGTTTTGTGCTAATTTAATGTCCAACTTCATAAAAAGGTCAGTTATCCAATTGCTCTGACTTCCATTTTTGTTTAATGTTTTCTTTTATACTAAGTTTTCAGAAAAAAAACATAAATTACATCCACTTTAAAAATTGTGAAACCAAACTTTAATCTTGTTTTTGGTTACAAAATGCAAAAAAAATTATAAAGCTTTTTGCAATGCCTGAAATGTTATGGGTGAGTTTTGTCAGAATTTGATATTCCAGATTTATCTGTGTAGAATGTTTCAGATGGTTTACTACAAATCATATGGTTTGCAATCACCGCACTGGAATGAAGGTGAATATTAGGAATACTTCCTTCATCCTGGTGAAACATTCCTCTTTATACCACACAGTAGTTTCAGGAAAAGAAAACAAAAAGTCACTGCGAAGAAAACAATAACTGTGGCCCATTTCTGTCCAGCTGCTCTTCCATTTTCACTGGTTACACCTGATATTGCGTGGTTCCTGAACCACAAGTGAAACCACAAAGGAGGATGAGAGAAAGAGAAAGGTTGAGGGAAAAATCCATGAAGCCAGGACAAAAAGGCAGGATGATGCTGCCATGTTAATTCAGCACCGTAAATGAAGTGTGGAGCCCAGAATGTGAGCCCACTGGGACAATGTTGAAAGACTACTACCTCACCTCATCATTACAGTAGTTTAAAAGTGTCATTCTCTCAAGGACTTCTAATACATTATTAGTGAAACAAATTTGGCGATTCCAATAATCAGATAGCATCCCTGAACTGGTAAAATAAAACACATTCTTCATATAGAATACTTCTTCAACCTTACCTGTTCTAATGTGGCAGCAAATCCCTGTCTGTCAGCAACATATGGTAATCCATGCACCAGGCCCACTTTCTCAGTCATCATGTTGGCCATGTCAGTCAGCGTGTCTGGATTCACTAAACATTAATTCATAGTGATATTTAAAATTTCATCACATAAACAGGCCTTTAATGCGTTTCATTCTAAACATTCTTCATTTTGGCGGCTACTTTTCCTTCTGTTCTCTCCCACAGCTGCCCACCTCACTGAGAAGTGACATCAAAGTGTTGTCTTACTGAAATAAATCGCTAATTTTTTCCTCATCAATGATATCAGTTGTCTTCTAATAATGCCCATGCAGAGCTCTGTGTTGAGATGGTTCAACACAGACTTGGTTGCATTCATTAATTGCATGCTAGTACTTTACTGTCCTGTACATCTACTCTGCCCAATATTTTCCAGGGACCATTACTAATAATATGAATCCAATAATGTAAGATAGATCACAGACTTTGTGGCTCACCTCGAATCCCACTGTCACAGATCCATACAAATTCGTATTTTGCAATTTCATATCCCGGCATCAAATTATTGATCTTCGGATTAATTCCAACCTTCTTCCCACCTGGAGGTTTCAACATTTCTCTTGGTTAATATCACTCTCGTAAACATCAAGTACTTTTAAAAAACACTTTGTTGCACAGTATCTTTTGTTAGTCCCCTTTACAGACATTGCATTGGCTACAGGATCGGAAAGTATCATATGGCAAGAGAAGTTTTGGAAGACAGTTCTAAAGGACAGCAGTATGATTGCAGAAGAGCTTGAACAGAGATTGATGGGGATGGAATCAAAGCAGTACCTGCGTGAAAAAGGGCAACTAGAATGTTGAGGAATCGTCCATCAAGAAAACCTGTAGAAAGGCCTAATGACTTTTATTTTAAAAAAAAGGAACTTTTTTGTTAATAATAATCCTTGCATTTGATATAGCGCCTTATCACGTCTTCGAGACGTCTCAAAGCACTTCATAGAATATACTGTAAAGTGAGTTGACTACACTTGTGGGTGAAACACAGCAGCCAATTGCACACAGCAGTGTCCCACAAACAGTCGTGGATTGAAGTGTCCAACTTATTATGTTTTTTGAAGGAATTATTACCCTCGGAAAAGCGATCCACCAATTGACTAACAACTGGATTTCAACTTGCTGCTAGGTATACAGAGGCGTGTGGAGTAAGGAAGTTTGCTCAACGTATCGCCCTTCCGGGAATAGAACCCAGGTTTCTCGCTTGCAAGGCGAATGTTTTAACCCCTGAGTTACAGAGAATTAACTTCTAGTTAAGGGAGACTAATATCAACTGTCTTTCGCTCCCTTTGCCATGCATGGCAAGCTTGTTCTCAGCTGTTTGTTGATGTTGTTCTAGAGGTATGCAATCACTAAGAGGGGCTTGAAGGACAGGGACAATGACTTCAATGCTTTGGTGCAACAATTCCAGCTACAAGACAGCAAATAGGAACTCAGCATTTGAGAGAGGAAGGGAGACAAATCCAGACCACAACACACAACACTCATTCTCCAATGTGCTGTGTCAATTCAATATTTCAAAATTCTTCTTTAACTTGAGACCATTACATTTCACTCAACTCTGAATAACTCCTTAGAGCAGAAATAGGTAGTCATTTTAGGTCCTCATACAACACTGAAGGATTGATAATACACTCAAGATGATTCAATTACCCTTTCCTGTCGAAGTACTCCCTTGCAGTTTTATTTCTTGTATCGCTCAACTTGTGTCTAAAAGATTCTGATAATACTGAATAATTAATTGCTTCAATTGTGCACAAATGAACATAGGGTGGAAAGGGGTAAAATAATGTAGAATAACTTGCATTTATATAGCACCCTTCACATAGGATAAGGTCTTGGAGCACTGTACAGTGGTCTGGTTGGACAGCGAGCAAGGGAGAAGGGGAGGTGACCATTGACACAATTGAGGTAGGTTTTCCAATGGGATTTGAAGTTAAAGAGGGGGCGAGGTGGATGGATTGCGGCTGGGAGTTTCAGATATTTAGGACCTAGGGGTAGCATTAAGTCAGTTCTGGTGAAATGCCGATCACAACAAAACATTTAAAAATAAAATTGTCTAAATATCTGGTTGGGTACAGCATTCTGTTATAGATGAAAGTGAGGAAATTACTGCATGGAATGGTTTCTCTATTGCTATGGAGGCAGTGGGGGAGCTGGAAGAGGGAGCATTGACTACAGGGAAGGTAAGGTTGAACAGTGAAGTTGAGTGATTATTCTGGAGCTTTGATTTGGTTGTACTTGCACATTCATGCGTACATTTTCCTCAGATTTATTAAGGGGCCAAGGTTAATGGTCTGTGGAAGATGAACTGAGTGGTGTTTTTTGTGTTCTTCATTCTAGGGTTAACATTAGCTCAACATGCTCTGCAGGCACAGTCCAGGTAGGGAACATCAAAAAAAAACTATAGATTGAAATGAAAATCGATATTTCAAAACTTTACAAGCCCACCATTATGCTTTGTTGTAATATTAGTGCCAATAATGAATTGACTCAATCTGTATATTTAAGACTACTAAACAAAGCCACAATTTTGATATGTAATTTGAGCCCTTTCTTTCAAAGGCACTAATCCCTGTGAAATCACATTTTGTTTGATCGATGCATACTTGGGTTGATCTAAAAAGGTGACACAGCCATGGCAAAGAACATTGTCCAAAAGAGATTTTAAACAGAGTGCTGAAGAAACTGACTCAGGCGAATAGCCCAAATTTGTGAGGGAACTAAATTACAATAGATCTGCTATTAACCTAGAATATTTCATCAATGTTGTCAATTTGGGCTCTACATAATAATTCTAACTAAAAAAAACTTTAAAATCAGTTTACAGGAAAAGGATACCAGCAATCACCATTTAATCTCTTAGAATATTTTACAAAAAGATTGTAGTAAAATGAAATCAATAGCTACTTAGACAGGAACAAAGCACAATTAACATTCATTACATTTCAATACCAAAGTTGAAACATTGCAGCAATGTGATAATGTTTCTTTATCGTGTAGTTGCACTGTGGACTCCAATCACTTTCGTCCTAAAACGATCAACTTCGAAGTCATCATGTTACCACTGCCATTACTTCCTGCATGCGCAGCAAATGGGAAGTGAACGTTGTCAGTTACTTGGTGATCTGGAAGCCGAACATCTTTTCTTTTAATGTGGGAACCAGCTGGTTCACCAAATGTGTGGGTGAATAAACACCAGCACGGGCTAGCTGGGCCAAACGGCTCATTCCTATCTTGTTTCATTCTAATTAGTTATAATGTGAGATGGGATTTTATGGATCCCAATCACCATGTTATAAACAAGGATCCAATGAATGGAGGCTTAATTTGCAGTCTAAATTAAGAGATTTCTTAAATATTGAATAGGAATTGCACTGATTTCTTGATAACAGGATACATCCCTCCTGAAACCAGGAGTGGAGTCCTGTAGCTCAGTGGTTAGAGCACTCGCTTTGCAAGCAAGAGACCCGAGTTCAATTCCAGGCAGAGCGAAACCTTGGGCAAGTTTCCTTACTCCACAGAGAGCCTAATAATAAACCCTCCAATAACCAAAAACAATAATAAATTGGTCATTTTCAATCTACGACTGTTTGTGGGACATTGCTGTGCGCAATTGGCTGCCACGTTCGCCCACAAATATACAGTCAATTCACTTTACAGTGTGTTCTGTGAAGCGCTTTGGGACGTCCTCCCAACGTGAAAAGCGCTATATCAAATGCAAGGATTATTATTATTATTATCACTTAACAAACCACCAACAATACATATCAACAAATGTTTCTTTCCTCTTTCCCCCACCCGGTCACTTGCAGGGTACCCCAAGGCTCTATCCTTGCCCCCCTTCTTTTCCTGAACTACATGCACCCTCTCGGTGATGTCATCCACAGACATGGGGTCAACTTCCCCATGTATGCGGATGACACCCAAATCTACTTCTCCCCCTCCAGCTGCGACTCCCAGTCCACTGATGTCCTGTCAGCTTGTTTGCCAGACATCAAGGCCTGGATGAGCACAAATTTCCTGCAGCTGAATGTCGGCAAAAGTGAAGCCATGCTCTTTGGATCCTGTCAACGTCTTCTCTTCTGCGGGTTTAAACACCTAAACCTCCCTGGCTCGCTCTCAGACTCACTGAACTCATGTGCAGCTTAGGCCTCAGGTTCGATCCCCAGCTTTCATTTCTACCCCACATCCGTTCCCTGACCAGGACCACTTCTTTCTACCTCCATCACATTGACCACCTCCATCCATACCTTACAACCAAAGCAGCCGAAACCCTCGTCCACGCCTTAGTCACGTCCCGGCTGGGCTATTTCAATGCCCTCCTTGCTGGTCTCCCCAGCTCCAACGTACACAAAATTCAACTAATTCAAAACTCCGCTGCCAGGATACTCACCTGCACAAAACTCTGTACCCCTGTCCGATCAGTCCCTGCCAGGTTCCCCACTGGCTCCCAATCACCAAACGGATCGATTTTAAGATCCTCTCACTCGTTTTCAAATCCCTACAAGCCCGCACATCTATCTACGTATCTGATTTGCTTACCCCCCACTTCCCCATCGGCTGGCTCCGGCCTCCTGTTTGTCCCTTGTCCTCTCAGTTCTACCAATAGAGGCCGTGCCTTTTGCCACTACACCCCGAAACTGTGAAACTTTCTCTCTCAATGCCTCCGCCTTGCCCCCTCCCCACTTTCAAATCATGTATAAAGATCTTCCTTTTTGATTGTGCCTCCCCCCTCCCTCTGGCTTGAGGTCAGACTTCACCACTGTTAAGTGGATGCAACCTCATGTGAAGGGCTCTAAATAAATGCAAGTTGTTGTTGTATCAAAGCCAAAGACCTTAAACTTAACCTTCTGGTTCCCAGATTTTGATTAGCGGGATCAGATTTATTAGTATTTGGATGAATCCCCAACCAGGCTTCCGGACATCGCCAATGAGAACATGGGGAACATTGAGTAGAGACGTGTGTCCTGCCTCCAGAGCCTCTACACAATTCATATTTGATGCTTAAGGAATCTTAATTTATAGATCAAATAATACCTCAATGGATTTGACAATATTTCCTTCCAAATTAACCATTTGACTTTTAACTTCCTAATTTGAAAATGATTACAAATATCTACACAAAAGTGAACCACAAATCTATTTGTTTGAAAAAAACAAGTTTGAAGAGTGCTGCTAGTGATAAATCATGTAAAATGTTTACTAAAGTTAGGAAAGAGCAACTTCCAGCCAATTTAACTATGAGAAAAAGATTATAATCTTGAAATCTGCTTACCAACAAACAATTTGGCATCCACATTTGGATATTTGCCCAGAAGTTTTTTACAGACATCGATTGCAGGATCATCGTGGTCTTGAACACAAAGGAGGATTTCATACTGGTGATGGTGGGGAAGGAAAGAAAAGGTCAGAATCATGCGATGGGTTACAGGAAAAGCATGGTGCCGATCTAAAACTACTAGGTTCACTAAGGTTAAACTTTTCAATGTTGTTGTTCAAAAAAAAAACCACCTCAGATGTAGAATAGTGGTTTTCCATCTTCCTTGTCTTCCATTATCTTCTATTTCTCACACAGGAACACCCATCCTCATCTCAGCTACCCAAAATATTCAGATTGAGGGAGAACAAAATCCCTAAAGGACAAGTTACCCACAAAAAACAACCTTAACTTAGATGCAACATTAGCAGAAACCTGGATGTATATGCTTGGTTGTCCATCAGAGAAAAATAGATTTCTTCAGTTCTACTATATAGAAAAGTTAGAAACAAAAAAATTACACTAAAGGGATAACAATGTGGTGTTCACTATCTTGTTTTCTCTGCTTATGTCACATTTAACCGAGAAATGTTTGAACACTGTTTGCCTTGGTATGCAAAAATAAAAATTCCACCTTGGTCTGGATTTACTCCATTTATCTAGCAATTCTTTAGCAAACTCTTAAAGTCCACCTTAATTTTTACACTGTTTTTCTTCTACTTTTTTTAAGAACTATGAAAATTAACTACAGATAAGACTGACTTCAGCGATATTCCAAATTATGGATGCTCTCAAATGCTGCACAGAGTAGATTTGGACACAGAAAGGTCTCCCCAAAGGCGAGCACATCAATTAGCTCATAATGTACCAACCATCAGTAGGTGAGCACACGGAGCTAGGCATTTACAAACAAATCAAGTGGGAAGGCAACTTGACAGTTAATGAGTTGCCAGATTTTATAAATAGGGGCACAGAATACAAAATCAAAGAGGTAATTTGAAACCTCTAAGAGTAATTGGTCAGGGGGCAGTTCGAGTATTTTGTCCAGTTTCAGGTGGCCCACTTTAGATGTCAAGGTCACAGGGAAAATACAGGGAAGATTAAGTAGCATGATACCAGGGATGGAAGGATTTACTTGTTAGAGACTAAAGAAACACAGGACAGTCAACATCTGCACCAATAGGCACTGCTGGTACAAACTGAACCAGAGTTTAGTCTAAGGATCCCAAAGATTTATACATCGGGTGGGAGAAGTTAACTACTTCAATGAAATTATATTTTAAACCTCTGCATGCTCACTGCAATTTCTTTGTACTCAAAAGTGGTAGCACACAAAAATGCAATACTAGCGTCTTTTCTGGTTTCCTTTTTCCTGGGACTGGAGCTCAAGCAGCAACACATGAAACTAAAAGTCAACTATTTAAAAATATCCCCATTTGCTGTACTGCAAAATAAACCTGCTGCGCAATGACATGGTGGGCTGCGTGGCTACATTTTCCCCCATTTTGCTGAGGTTACAATCTCTGCTACACTCGCGGTGGAGATCAGCCGTTTCCGTAGAGGGAGGGGTGGAAAAGCAGCAGTCATTTTCTAGCCAGCTCAGAGCAGTATGGTCACCCACCCACTTTTCTGATATCAGTTAAATGAAGAGGAGGTTAAATGTCAACTTCCTCACACTTGTGTTCAAATCCCTTCGTTCTCTGGCACCTCCCAACCTCTCTGACCTCCTCACTCCCCAATCTACTCGACTGGCACTGGCCTCCTGCTCGTTGATTGCACCCTCCGCCCCACCATCGGAGGTCGCGCTTTCAGCCACTACGCCCTTAAACTCTGGGACACTCCCTCAATCCCTCCGCCTTGCCCCCTCTCTCCTCTTTTTCCAAGTCCTGCCTGAACTGGGCTCTGCCACTATTAAGTGCTCTGAGACGCTACCCTGCATGAAGAGCGCTATATAACTGCAAGTTGTTGTTGATGAGAGACAAGGATAAAGATTACCCTTTATATCAAAATAAGTTTTAAAGATTGTGTGCAGGAAACATTCCATGAAATTGAACCTTATAAATATTCCAATACAGTCAGGTTTTTTTTCAGTGGAATCAATCTGTGGAAACCACACATAGTATTATATTTTCTATTTCCGTCAAATCATTCTGTGGCGACGTTCCTTTCCTAAATGTATATGTTTGAGTTTTTTAAATTCAGAAATACATACGAGGTAAAAATAAATCATAGCAAATGCAAATTAGGCAATCGTTATTTAATTAATGTCAGTCTATATTGATGTGCACAAAACTTGATATGGACAATAATAATCCTTCCATTTAATATAACACCTTATGTCATCCAAACATCTTAAAAGCAATTCAGTAAATTATCTATAAATACGTCAATAAAGTGCCTTATTTACAGCAAATTGACTATAAAGTTTGCTTTTGTAGGCAAACATGGCAGCCAATTTGTGCACAGCAATATTCCACAATAGCCATGAAGTGAATGACCAATTTTATCTGAGGGATTGTTTGCTATGACACCAGGAGAAACTTCCTTCTTTTTGAATAAGTGTCATGGAATCTTAAATATCTATCTGAACAGGCAAATGGTACTTCAGTTTAACGTTTCATCCAAAGGACAGCACCTAAAACAATGAAGTGCATCCCCAACTGGACTATCAAGAAGGGATGGGAGCTCAAAGTTCCAATATTGGGTTTGAACACACAACTCAGGCATATGGTTTGCATGATCATTTTTCTCAAAGCAATCAGATAAGAAATCCAGTCAACTCAGAGAACCAAGATAAGGCAAGATTAAAGCAAGCACTGCTCCATAGTATGTAAATATTTGCCTAATTAAATTCTGCTCTTTCATCTCTGGAATTCTGTAAATTCACCTCACATTGAATTGCTCCTCGTCTGCCAATACTGCTTGAAATGTGCTTGGGCAATCTCAGTTGAGCAACTATTCAAAATTGCACTGGCTGACAATCTCAACTGAAGAGACGCCATAGCTGACGTGGGAGCCCTTGCTCTTAACAACCTACAACTAATACTCTTCAGAATCAGGTAAGCCAAAAGCACCTGCTAGAGAGAGGGTGTACATTCCATTCCAGACACAGGGAGATTTCCAGGTTTAGATGGCATGCATATTTGAAACTCTCACTCTGGTTGTGATACTCTTAAGCACAGAGCTGAGTTTCCACAGGAGTCAAATACATGACTAATCAGAAAAAATGTATGGATCACCATCAAGCATCACCAGAATGAATGATTCTAAGGGGAGCCACTGGATTCAATTCACAAACCATGATGAAGCAATAAAGTGGATCAGAGTAATGACCGCTTCAATGGTACCAAGCATCAAGAAACTTATCATCCTGTCTATCAACCCATCTTGTGCTCTCATTGCACCATCCTACCGACAGGATGGTCCAATGGGAGCACGAGGTGGACTGATCCAAATGGGAGCACATACTTACTGTAATCATTAAAAGTTGTGACAACTATAAAAAGTAGTGCTGTATGTCAAAAGTTGAGGTTTCCACAACAAAATTGTGGCCCATAATTTTCTTACCCATGACACTGCACAAAAATATAAGCCAATAATCCCCAATATGAACTCCTAGCATACCTTTTCATGGTGATTGTTGGGGAGGGGAAAAATAATTCCACGAATAGCTTGTACATACCTTAGGGTAATCAAGTTCAAAGAAGGTTTCCAAATTGTTTATGAGGTTTGGATCCACTCCTTTCAGCGGTTTAAGCAGGGAAACACCAGGTAGCTTACTGTAAGGCTGTTTGTCTGTCGTCTTCTTGTTTAGATGAAGGCGTCTAATAGGAAGAAATAAACATCACCAGTTACATTTTTCAGCAGGACTTTAAAAATGAACAGGTACTTACTATGCCAGCATTTTAACATGCCAAGTTTCATTCTGATGTAAACATAGATTTGTAAACACAGTGCTTTAGTTTTTATACAACAGTTTTACAGCACAGTCATCTGAACTATCAAAGGCATTCCCATGAAGCTTCTGTGAAAGTTGGATTTTAATTCACTTGCATCTTGATTTTTTTCGAAAGAATTATAGAGACAAACTCAAGAGCTTTCACACCATTATGAAGCAATACATTTTGTCAAATTCAATAGATCATAAATCAGCAGAGAAGGAAGGGGATGTAAAAATAAATACAATGCCATTAGACAGAGTAAACATACATTAAAAGACAATCTTTAGGTGGGGGGGGGGGGGGGGAACCTCTAGTGCAGTACTGCACAAGATGCCATTTTAAGGTTTAAATCCGCCACTCAAACCACCTGCATCTCCTACCGCCCCTGGAAAAAAATCTCCCCACAATTCCTCTCTGCTTCCCTGGAGTCATCTGAACTCCTCCCCTCTAGCCTACACCCCACACTAATTTATCCTCCTCGCTCACTCTCCTCCACAACTCCCTCTCCACCACTCTTGATGCCCTTGCTCCACTCACCTCCCGAACTGCCTCCTACTCACTAACCTCACCCTAGTACACCAGCCACATCCGCTCCTTAAAGGGTCAGGTGCGGGCCGCCGAACACACCTGGCTCAAATCTGATCTAGCGGGCCACCGGACCACATCAAAATGTACCGCTCAGCCCTCGCCTCCACCAAATCGTCCAACTCCAAGATAATCTTGGAGGCGAAGGACAACCCCAGGCTCCTATTCTCCATCACCAACCGGCTCCTCTGTCCACCCTCCTACGCCTCGCCCATTCTCTACTCAAACTCTGACTATGAGGAGATGCTGGATTTTCTCGAGTCCAAAATCCATTCAGCTGTCTCCGCCTTCTCAACCACCACTCTCTCCCCATCTTCCCACCACACTACAACCCCTACCCATCCCTCCACATCTTCAAACTTGTCTACCCCTCCTCTCCCATCACCACCATACCTAGCATGAAACACACCACCCTTCTCCTTACCTCCCAGCTGCACCTTCTCGCCCCTCTGCTCTCCAACACCATCAACCTCTCCCTATCATCCGGCACCATCCCCATGCTTCTAAAAACAGCTATGATCATCCCCATCCAGAAAAAGCCTTCCCTGGACCCATCCCTGTTTTCTAACTACCGGCCCATTGCCAATCTCCCTTTTCTTTCCAAGGTTCTTGAAGAGTCATTGCTTCCCTGCTTCGTTCCTTCCTCACTTACCACTCCCTTCATGAGCGCCTCCAATCAGATTTTGGTTCTGTGAGCACGGTCAAGACTGCTTTTGTCAAGGTGACAAACGACATCCTGCCCATTGGTCAAAACACAAAATACTGCAGATGCTGGAATCTGAAACAAAAACAGAGAGAGAGCTGAGAAAACTCAGCAGGTTAGGCAGCACCTATGAAGAAAGGAAAGTGAGTCAACATTTTGGGTCCACAACCCTTCGTCAGAACTAGGTCGTGGACCCAAAACGTTGACTCACTTTCCTTTCTCCAAAGATGCTGTCTGACCTGCTGAGTTTTCCCAGCTCTCTCTGTTTTTGTGCCTGCCCATTGGTGACCAGGACTCACTCTGTCTCCTCGTCCTCTCTGCTGCCTTCGATACCATGGACCACTCCATTCTCCTCCACTACCTCTCCTCTCACTTCAACCTTCAAGGTTCTGTCCTTGAATGGTTCAGGCCTTATCTCTCACATCATCTCCAATTTGTCTCCGCCAACGGTTTCTCTTGCAGCCCCCGCTAGGTCTCGTACGGTGTTCCTGAGGGCTCTGCCCTCGATCCCCTCCTCTTCAACCTCTACATGCTAAACCTTGGCGACATCATCCACAGAAATGGGGTCAACTTCCACATGTACTTGGATGACACTCAACTCTATCTCTCTGCCTTCCACCCTCAATTTCAGGACAACTGATGTCCTGAGAAACTGTCTGTCTGACATCAAGTCCTGGATGAGAGGCAACTTTCTATTGCTGAATGTCAGCAAGACCGCGGCTCTCCTGATTGACTCGCGCCAGCACCTTCGCACCTCAGGCACCGGCAGTATCAGCATCCACGGTTGCACATTCCACCTCACCAAGCAGCCAGGAACCTGGGCATTTTGTTCGACCCTCAACTGTCCTTTCTCCCCTAAATCCGTGCCATGACTGTGCTCTGCCTTCCCCCACCTCCGCAACATTGTCCAACTCCACCACTGCCTCACCCTCAAGTTGTCGAAACCCTCATACACACAATCATCACCTCAAGGCTCGACTGGAAATTCCCTCCTTGTTGGCTTCCCCAACTCTTTCCTCCACAAGCTGCAGGTCATCCAGATCTTTGCAGCCTGTGTCCTCTTCCGCAGGCTCCACAACCCTATCACCCCCATCCTCGCCCAGCTCCATTGTCTCCCCATGACTGAGAGATATAAAGCCCTCTGTGGCCTTGCTCCTCCCTATCTCTGTGATCTCCCCCTATCAACCTGTCTGCCCCCTACGCTCAGCGGGTTCCAGCCTGCTTCACGTCCCCCACCATTGGCGGACGGGCCTTCAGCCTCTCTGCCCCCACCCTCTGGAACTCCATCCCACAGTCCCCCCACCTCACCCCTTTCCTTGCCTCTTTCAAGACCCATCTCAAGACCCTCCTCTTTCAGCGCGCCTTTGGTCACCCTCCCCCCAATCCTCCTGATTCCAACCACCAGCTTGGGCGCAGATCCCTGACAATCCAGAATCTTGGGATGTCCTCCTGATATGAAAGGTGCTATACAAATATAATTTGTTATTGTTGTTGTTGCCTTGCCTTCCTGCCCATCTTCAGATCACATCTGAAGACCTTCCTATTTGACTGTGCCAACATTCATCTCCCCTTTCTCCCCAGCTCGGTATCAAGCTCGTCCATTGTCAAGCGTTCCTGGACGCTACCACATGAAGGGCGCTGTATAAATGCAAGTTCCTGTTGTTGACTTTGCCCTTGACAAGTTACTGAATACATTAGGTTGATTCAGTTCAGAATTAAAGGCTTTCAGTTTATGCAGTATATTTGTAAACAAAACCTAGCTTAATGATTTACAGTTGACTTAAAATGTTCAGTCTTTAACAGTAGCCTATTTGTTCCTGTAGTAAAACATGGACTGCAATTAAAATGTCCAGCATTACCCAAAAGGGTAGTGGAAGCCGATTCAATAACAACTTTTAAGAGAGAAGTAGATCGGTAATTGGGGAGGACAGGATTGCAGGGCTATGGAAAGAAAGCGGCCAGTGGGATTAAGTTGGATTGCTCTTTTAGGAGCCGGCGCAGACGCAATGGGCCGAATGGCCTCTTTCTGTGCTGTATGATTCTATGATCTTCCTCCTAGATATTGGGCTGCCAGATAGTGGGCTATCTGCGCGACCAGGAGAGTGGCTGTTCACACTGCTAAATAGGGAGCCATGTGGTTGATTGACAGAANGAGAGAGAGAGAGAGATGAGGAGATAGAAAGAGAGGAGAGTGAGAGGATGGGGAAAGAGAGAGAGATTACGATATGGGAGAAGAGAGAGTATGATTGACAGGGAGAGAGAAAGAGAGAGGAAAGAGAAAGAAAGAGGAGAGAGAGGGTAATTGAGAGAGAGAGAGAGAAGAGAAAGAATGTTTGAGAGAGGGAAAGAATAATTGGGAGGGAAGAGAAAGAGATTAACAGAGGAGGAGAGAGTAATTGACAGAGAGTGAGCATGAAGGAGAGGGGGAGAGAAGAGTAAGTGAGAGAGAGAGAGCAAAGACAGCAGGCGGGGGGGCGAGGAGGGAGGGAATGAGGAAAGCGTTTCGTGGTTCACTGTCAGGACAGATGATCGGAGCCTTCCTCGGCCACTGTGCGGAGGATCGAGGACAAACACTGAGTGACGTATCATGTGGTTTCCTCATAGCAAGCTGAGAAATGTTTGAAGCTGCCCACCCTCTGCTCCCTGGACTCCCATATCCCTCTCCTCACTGACTCCAAATCTACCACCATCTTCTACCGCCCGTAGAAGAAGATCTCCCCGCAGTCCTTCTCTGCTGCCCTGGAGTCCTCTGAACTCCTCCCGCTCTGGCCCACCTCTTGCACCAACCCACTTGCTGCGCTTACTTTTCTCCACAGCACCCTCTCCACCACACTCGACGCCCTTTCCCCCCTCACCTCCCGAACTGCCTCCTATTCCCAATCGTCACCCTGGTTCACCAGCCACCTCCGCTCGCTTAAGGGCCAGGTGTAGGCTGCCCAACGCACTTGGTTTAAATCCGGCCTAACGGTCCAACCGCCACAACTGGCTGGACCTCATCAAAACCTACCGCTCCACTCTCGCCTCAGCCAAATCATCCTTCTACTCCAGGTTAATCCTGGAGGCGAAGGGCAACCCCAGGCTTCTCCACCACCAACTGGCTCCTCCGCGCTCCCCGCCACACCTCGCAGATTCTTTCCTCTGACTTTCACTACGAGAAAATGCTGGACTTCCCCAAACCAAAATTGAGGGAATTTGCTCAACTGCCACCGCCCTCCCAACTTCCAACCCCTCCCTACTCCCACTCCACACTCCGACAATTACCCATCCCTCCTTCCACACCTTTGAACCTGTCAACTCCTCCTCCGTCTTCACTACCATATTCTCCATGAAGCTCACCACCTGCTCCCTGGATCCCATCCCCACACCTATCCTTAAATCTCAGCTCCATCTCCTTGTCCCACTACTCGCCGACATCATCAACCTCTCCCTGTCATCTGGTACTGTTCTTTTCCCCCTCAAAACAGCCACTATCACCCCCACCTTGAAGAAACCTTTCCTCGACCCATCACAGCTATCCAGCTACCGGCCCATCTCAAACCTCCCTTTCCTATCCAAGGTCCTTGAGAGAGCTGTTGCCTCCCAACTTCGCTCTTTC